AGAAATCCTGCCCACTTGTCAATTAACAGACAGCTATCAGGTTTAAAAGTATCAGTGTTGTTACTGGTGTTATGAAAGCTCTAGTATGGAAAGCATACGCCAGTACTCCCATAGTAATATCAGACAGCATCCCACGGGGAGAAAAGGCGCACATGTGGATCAACGATGACACAACATGGATTTTACTGCGCAGTGGCATAAGCTAAGCAATGATGTAATGCATCTGAGCTCACTGGGTGAGAGTCAGTTTGTAAAAAAAAAAAAAAAAGTGTGAGGAAATCAGAACAGGCCTTATTATTACTGGATTTAACATCTGAGACACAGACTGGTCACTGAGGAATTTTCTCTCCGAGCACTGAGACAGTATTGGCATATTTTAATTGTGTGCTTGTGTGGCAGGGGTCTTTGTGTAAGTGTCTCACACAGCATTTGACTGTGACATCCAGGGTTATATTAACGATTTAAAGCACCAGAGATTGTAAACTACTTTGTTTGTCCCCCACCTTGCTGGATTCCTGGGGAGGACAGTATCTAATTAGGTGTCTACTGTACATTCTAGATTTCCATTTATTTATTTAAAGAGGAAACAGGGGGAAATATCAACGAGTCACTAATTTCATTTCAACATGTACCAGTGGCATTAGCCCTGAGCAGATATTTCAGAGGAACACAAAATCAATGTTGAGGTTCCACTGGGAATAGCCCTGGAACCCATTAGCAACTTTGACCAATAGGTCAGTTAAAGTAATAGCTAGATAAATGTTTTATTACAGATTTGCAAACTGACTTAATGGGTAGAAGATGCGGGGTACCTGTGCAGCCATGCATGGTAAATATTCATCATTAGATTGTACTGCTCTAATGAACACAGATCTCTCAGTGGCCAAGGCCTTTGGTACTTTGGTCTGTTAAAAGGTGGCTGTCTCTTACCAGGCCTCAGAGGAGACAAGAGGCTGCATCAATGATTCTCTGAAGGCATAGAGGAGGCTCTCCAGCACTGTGATGATGTACAATGTTTCTACAGATTATATGTTTTATCACACTAATTGTATTTTATATGGCTGCCCTGTTGTTAATCTCTTCTAGTGTACAATATCTTGGCTTAACATGCAATAGCTCCAGTTCTGACTGTGACATCACCCATGTATATCAGTCTGAGTCATAACATAATCAGCTGTGATGATTTGCAATCAAGTATAATAACAAACATATTAGTGTATGTAAGGAATATATGTACACATCCCTGCTGATTTTCTGTCCTGCCAGCTATTTACTTGTATTTATCTGAAATCCCATGTAGAAATCAGGCACTAAGTGGTAAGAAGCGCTGTGGTACTCAAGCACTACAACTGACAAACACTGGAATAATTATTTAAAATCATCTTTACCATTCATACTGACCTACTATGCCTGTATCACATATGCACATTTACTAGTGAAAGATTAGTGAACTCTGGCCCATTACAGTCTATTTTTACATACTGTAAGAATTATATTCCTGCAAAAGACCCTACACTGTTATATTAAACTCTATTTTCCTAGAATAAGTGCCATTATTTATAACTGAGTGAACATATTTCACATTTTGACATTTTTTTAGCCCTCTGTTCGCTGGGCTCTCATGTCGATCTGTGCTGGGTAGAGCATTACTTTTTTGAATGGAAGCCAGACAGACTGAGAGCTCCCACATGCTGAGATGAGCAGCTCCTGTTTCCAGCGCCGTCTCCAAGGAGACCAACAAGCCCACCAATAACATCGCTCAGCACAGGCAAGCGGGCAATTCAATTCCTTAAAGCAGCAGTGTCCATTTTAAAGGGAGACGGTGAAAAAGGCTGTTCAGCAAAAGCAGCGTATTTGATAAATAGGAACATTAAAGCACCTCAACACTGCAGTTTACACATTTTCCTTTTTTTTCTCCTTTTTATTAAATGTGAATTCACATGTTAGTTTGAGCCAATCCATGTCAGAGTATCCGCCTACATACAAAATAGGCATCATTCTGTCATCACATCCTTTTCAAACATAACAAATAACACATTTGTGTACATTTATTCACAAACGGAAAGGACAGTCAATGGTGGTAGGTACTTATTTATTAAAAGATGAGTCAAAGACAGATTCACACTTGGAATGTGAAGTAACTACTGCCTAGAACTTCCAACAAAACGTCTTGGCGTATAATTAGGTCATATTCCAAAACCCCTTATCAAACAGACTTCATATGTAAGACCCACATAAAAATAAACAATATCTGCTTTTTTAAGTGCAAGAAATAAAAAATACAGGTTTATGGTTAATGTTTTAAAAAAAGAAGGCAGTCTTCAGTTTTAAAATAAAGTTTCATTTAATGAAACAGGACTATGGAATGTTCTTTTTTGCTTGCTTGTCAAACTAATGCCAGACCACCATTTTAATCAGACTATGCCCTTTTGCAGAACTCTTCCCCCCTCCCCTTAATTTTCAGTTAGATTCAAACTGTTTGGTGTCAGATATGCCCATTACCCAATCATGTCAAATAACATTCAAATAGTGATATTTATCGGTTTCTGTAGCATGCATCACACCATGAGGCCATATTCAATTGTTTTGTATCAGTTCCAGCTGATTTGTTTATTTTTCTGCCTGGACAGGCTTCAGCATCATAACATGAAATGATGTTGACAGTGCACAAGTCTGTTTTTCCATCACTTGCTACAATTGTTGATGGTCTGTATCTTAAAGAGTATATATTGCACAAAAAATGAGAGGGGGGAAAAACAGTATGTGCCATAAAAAATACCAAAATCCAGTTTCACACCTGCGATTGGGACCCATCCACATATCACGAGTATGATATACATAAACTCCTAACTTTACTATATTACAGTACATATACAATCTTGAAACTAGTTCCAGCTCTGAGGTATGTGTTCCCCATGATGCCATTGTATTGTCTACAAATACTCAACAAATCTGCTCTACAACTGTACAAAACCTAGTTTAAAATCACAAGGCATTTTGATGCAAGTTTTAATTTAACTTAATCCTTAAAACCAGGACTCCCTTGCATGCTAAAAACAAATGATAAAGGGAAGAAGTGCCTGAAACTCACTGAAAGCACAGTAAGATCATTCCCTTTGAACTGTACAAAAATATGCCTGAAAATATTTTACTTTTCTTTTAAAAAGATGAGGTCTGTTATGTATCAAAATGTTTCCTCCACACCTGTATTCTGCAGAGGTTTAGGCTGCTTAATTTTCCAAACCCGGAGGTAAATGGAATCAGTTACAAAAAAACAAACAAACAAACAAACATTTGCGGCATTTAGAAATGACAAACCGTTGAAAAGTAACATCCTGAACAACTGTCAGTTCACAGATTTGCTTTAGAGTCAGTCCACAGTCTGTTTTCAGCTCCCTGCAGTATTTTTTTTTTTGTTTCGTTTTGTTTTGTTTTAAGAGGATAAGATGCATAGAAGTTCACGTATTTTTCCCTTTGTGGTCCGTTTAAGCTGAACAGTAAATGGAAACCTACCGGGAAAAAATCCATAAAACCCTGTCATGCTGCCAGAAAAAAAAAACGTCTGCAGACTTTGCTTTTTTTTCTATTTTTTTTTTGTTTTTTTTTTGCTACCAGCTTCATAAGCATCTCATTCCTCAAACCTCACCTCGCCTCCTGGTCCTCCATCTCCCACCAGGACCCTTCAGAAAACCCACAAGAGACACAGTCAGGGCTAGGGACAACTTGACCAGGACACATATAATTTCATTTCTCCCTTTTCTCTTATTACTAGAGGAACTTTTAAATTTTTTTTTAAATTCAGTATGTGAAGACCAGGTCAGAAAAGTTCGCCTCCAGCCAGTCCCCGGCAATCATCTCACTGAGCTCTGGCGTGCAATAGTCTGGGAATTCAAAGTGAGAGCCCAGGCTGCCCTCGCTAAAAGAGTCCAAGTCCTTATCCACAAGAGACAGGGAGAGGTTTCCTGAATTGGGGTTGCCCATCTCCGAGCCTTGGGCGCTCGGGGCGAAATTTAAACTAAAGTCAAACAGCAAATCGTCCGCGTCGTCGCCGGAAGAGGAGCTGCTGCTGGATGAGGAGGATGTGGAGACTGACCTGGAGGATGCTGGTGAGACGGAAGCAGCGTGCAATGTGCTCTGCTTGGCAATGTTTTTGATATTGTAAAACAGTTTGCTGTTGTTCCGAACTTCTTCGTACATGCTCGTCCCCTCAGATTCAGCCGAGGAGCTCAAAGTTGGGCTCGCAGGAACTTTGGCTACATTGTACGGCCTCAGGCGCTCCTCGTCCCCCGGCTTAATCCCCATCCGGTAGTCCTCTTCGTACTCTTCGTCATCGTCATCATCGGTGAGCTCACTTTTCACAGTCTTTGAAACTTTTAAGCTCGGAAACACACAGTCCTCCCCATAGCCCTGAGACGACTTGGAGCCGCTCTTAGTTTTTATCTTTGAGCACTTCTTGCTGGGAGTCTTTGCAATTTTCCCGCACTTCTCCGGAGACGGTGCTGATGATTTGGAACTGTCGAGTTTTGGTTTTTTCTTGGGTCTGTACTTGTAGTCGGGGTAATCAGCCATGTGTTTTAGCCGGAGCCTCTCGGCTTCTCTGATAAACGGGATCTTTTCACTGTCCTTTAGCATCTTCCATCTCTTCCCCAGGCGCTTGGAAATCTCCGCGTTGTGCATGTCCGGAGACTGCTCCATGATCTTTCTCCTCTCGATTTTGGACCAGACCATAAATGCATTCATGGGTCTCTTGATGTGACCGGTGGCTGTCTTGCACCAGTCCGGGTTTATCGCCACCGGGCTGCATGCCATAAACTCACTCTCCTCCGAATCGGTAGCCTCCCTGGACATGCTCCCGTCTGTCTCGCTGTTATCTGTGTGCTGCACCATTGTCCTTTATTTCAAGTGACTTTGTGTCCGGACGTTGCAGTGTCTCACAGCCCCACACTGCCAAGACTGCTCAGTTCTCTGTGTTTGCGCCGGTTCGTCCACGTCTTACGCGTAATACGTGTCTCAAGCTCTGCACTCTTTTTCCAGAGTTACAAACTGCCTTCTTAACTAGTTATCAGCTTTTTCATGTCCCCTGCGTCACACGCAGCCATCCAATCACGTCCCTTCCACTCCGCCCAGCAGACTCCATCCAAGACTCCCCTTAACCCTTTTATTCCTCCCTCCCGAGCTTTCATTGGGGTGGAGGTGGGGGTTTGTGGTACACAGTGTCTGGGGCAACACGCCGGGCGAGACAGGCATATTAAATACACAGTTAGCACCGTGCGCTCCTGCGATGAACATCACGCACTGACGCGCATAAAAAACAAATCCGTTTTTTTTTTCTTTTAAAAGTGAAGAAAGAAAACATGTAAGAGACAAGGTTAATCTCTAGACAGGCGCATAGTCTTTTGCAGATGTGTCTTGGGGAAAACATGTAGGTTATGTGATTATTTGCTTTCTTTT